CCAACCAGGAGCTCATGAAAGGGCTCAGGAATGAATTGAAAAGGCTTCCCCTGGTCCAAGAGGCGACAGTGTGAGCTTAAAGAGGATCGTGGCAATGGATTATAACTCATCAAATAAGTTTAAATCTGCGAGTTCACTGCGGTATTAAACAGTCACGAAAATTTAAACAGGTTTCACCTTGAGAAAGTTATAGGAGACAAATGTAGTATCTTGAAAATTGGTTTAAAAAAACGAGGGTAGTGAGTCAGGCATTTGTCTAACTATTAGGGTAACCGAGGAGTGAATGAGGTCGGATGGTGGAAGATATGACAAAATAATAATTTATAAATTATCAAGAGTTTAGGGGAGAGGGGGAGCGGGAAGGGAGGGGAAAAATGAGGAGCTGATGCCAAGGGCTCAAGTAGAAAGCAGGTGTTTTGAGAATGATGATGGCAACATATGTACAAATGTGCTTGACCCAATGTATGCATGTATGGATTGTGATAAGAGTTGTATGAGCCCCCAACAAAATGATAAAAAAAGAAAAAATGAGGTGACGCTTTTGACTACATGCAGTTCAGCTAATACATGGAAAACAATATGAAAGAATAGCACCTTTTCTCAGCTGCCTGTGAATTAAATTAAGGGGCATTGAGTGTAAACAATTGCTATAGCATACACAGACATAATTTCTCCGCAGATGAAAAATCACAATACTATCAAAAGTGGATCCAGCCTCTGGAAGTCTACAATTCAGCTCCCAGTTTGCAGGGAATACGAAGCTAGAGCCCACAGAAGCACGTTAAACTGGTCCATGCAGATGCAATCAGCAAAGTCCAGACTACAGGAAGCTACAGATGTCAAATGATCCAGTCCTTCCAAAGATTAATTGAAGAAAAAAGTATGAAAAGAAAGAGACTAAAATCTAGGCTTTTTAAAAGGGTAAGATAAAGTCATAATGTCTGTTAGGCAGGATTCTCTAGAGCAGTGGTTCTCAACGTTCCCAATGCCGTGACCCTTTCATACAGTTCCTCATGTTGTGGTGACCCCCAGCCATAAAATTATTTTCGTTGCTACTTCATCACTGTCATTTTGCTACTGTTATGAATCCTAATGTAAATATCTGATATGCAGGATGTATTTTCATTGTTAAAATTGAATATTGTTAAACATAATAAAAGCATAGTGATTAATCACAAGACAATATGTAATTATATATTGTGAAATATGTTTTCCGATGGTCTTAGGCGACCCCTGTGAAAGGGTTGTTCGACCCTCAAAGGGGTGGAGACCCACAGGTTGAGAAGCGCTGCTCTAGAGAAACAAGATCAGGACACTTATGATTATATAGATGATAGATTTATACAGCACCAAGGAATATAACAGCTTAGTCCACACAGCAGTTCAGAGGGCTCAGTTCAACTCACTTCCATGGAACAGTTAATATACTAGAAGTCCTTCAACTCAGGAGGGCTGCTAGGTCCAAGGTCAAGAAAATAGACAGCTGAGTCTTCCCTTGGGCAGAGTCTGCCCACAGGCAGCAAACAGCCGGGTGGGAGCTCAGAAGGAGCTCAGAAGCTTAGTGAGGCAAGCCTAGATGAAATATTGAACTCAAGCAATGCGAGACAACAGGATCCACCAGTCTCAAGCTCAAGCGATGTATACACCAGCAGCATGGTGAAGCAAGTCTCAAAGGAGCCTCAAGCTCTAGCAACACGATCCACGGGTTGGCTGTCCCACAGGTAGTGCTGCTCACAAGTTGAGGCAGAGAACTAGCTAAAGCAGCCAAAGGCTGGTCTGATCACCTGAGAGCAAGAGGGCGAAGGATGGGCCTTGCTGAGCCATTTATCTCTTTACTTTTACTATAATAAAACACCAAAGTCCACAACAAGACAAAAAAGCAGTCCGAGAAGATTGGACATTTTAAAATAATGATTAATTTGTAACCTTAAGATCTATGTATGATTAATTCAACCAAGGCGAATCCACAGGTAGATAATTACTTAGTGGTTGCCATCAGGCATGGTATGGGGCAGGGTGCGGGGTGGGTACTGGAGTGATCACTCATGGGTTTGGTGTTACTTTTCAGAATGATGAAAATGTTTGGGAATTAGATAGTCGGGACGTTTGCACAACTTTGTGACTATACTAAAAACCAGTCAATTGTAGACTTTAAGGGAATGAATTTTACGGTATGTGAATTCAAAAATATTTAGGATTAAACATAATGCTAATGTAAAAATGGCAGGCTCTGCAGGATCAACAATTCTGAAATGAGTAATTCAGATGCATACAGGGATTTCCTATACCTTAAAATGGCATGTTTAATTGGTAGGATAAGTCATTCAATAAACTGTGAAGCACACGTTTATGAAGCACACACATAGATATTTCTGTGTAAGAATTCACTGTGGTAAAAGTGGACGACCCATAAACAGGAAAACCACCCTCATTGCCACTGAGTCAATCTGTTCTCAGATGTCTTAAACTTCAAGCTCACTGCCACCAACATGATTCCAACTTCTAATGCCCATGGGAGACTAGGGAAGGAAAATGAGTAGCTGGGGAATGTAGAAAAGATGCGAGTCTACACTGAACATCCACTTGTTCCTGCGACTCCAAATGCCAACTCTTAATCATGGGCAAATTCTTGGCCTTTTCCAAGTCTATCCCCTTATCTATAAAATAGGATTGATACAATTAAAAAAACAAACAAGCAATGCACTTACCCTAATGCTACCTGGAACAAAAGAAACTGTCAACCATGTAAATTACTGTTGGAAACCGCAAATGTCCAAGAACTGATGAATGAACGGATACAGTACTCCATGCAATGGAATATCACGTGCCCACACAGAGGCATGGAGAGCCAATATGTGCTATGGCTTGGATGAACCTTGAAAGCATTATGCGAAGTGAAAGAAGCCAGACACGAAGGCCCCATTGTATGATTTAATTCACATGAATTATCCAGAATAGGCACATCTAGAGTGTCAGAAAAGTAGATTCGTGATTGCCAGGGGTTGTGCGGGTAGGGGATATGGGAGATGGCGTGACAGCTAGGGCGGATGCATGTCTCAGTGGGATCGTAGAATTAGAGCGTAGGTCACACAAGAGTCCTGGTGGTGTGATGGGTTTTGAGTGGACTGCAGTTCAAACCCACTAGATGCTCTTTGGAGGAGAGATGAGGCTTTCCTGCTCCGGTAAAGATTTTCGGCTTTGGAACCTCAGACGAGGCAGTTGTGTTCTGTTCTGCAGGATCGCTATGAGTCAGAATTGGTGCCGCGGCACCGAGGGGTTCTTTGTTTGTTTGTTTGTTTGTTTGTTTTTAAGGGTTGTACATCTCGTGACTGTACTACATGCCATCCAATTGGACAATTTTTAAAACGGTGAATTGTTTGGTGGGCAATCTATTTTTAGCAAAGCCATTTAAATGGTTTGCTTTCCATGGTGATTGGCCTCAGCCTGGCCCAGCTCTCCTCCTAGGTGCCCAGCCTGGGCGGGACCCAGCACCTGAGCCCGGCTTTTTTACCCCCACCCTGCTGTTATTGCAGGGACCTCGTGCGCATGCGGGCCTGGCGCCCCTCGCCAGGTGGGAATGGACATTTCTGGTGCGTTTCCGTTGATGGCGACGGTCTGTGAGGCAGCGCGTGACGGGCTTCGTGGAGGAGCGCATGGCCGACCTTTGGAGAGAATAATATTCGGGCCCCCTGCGGGCCCCTCCTAAGTTTGGTGCTGTCCGCCGGGGACCCCCGGATGCTGAGCGTTGAAAGCCAGCGGGGCCTGCCCACCTGCTAACACTGGACTTCCGAGACTGGCCTCAGCTCAGGCCTGGCTTCTCCGTGAGCCACGCAACCTCGGCCCAGTGCGGAGCCTCAGCAGTAAAGTGGTACAGTGACCCTGGCCTCGACTACTGTTGTGGATGTTATTTGAAGGAGCGTGCGTCAAGGTCCCCGGCGCAGGAATTGAGCCATGGGGTCCTCTTCTTCCCAGCCGGCTTCCTCCTGCTGCGGTCACTTGGCTGGACCTCCAGGTGATCCGCTGCCCCCAGGCTGAGCGCTCTGTGTCCTTGCTCCTCCCCCAGCCGGTCCCCTAGGGTTGGTTTCCCTCGTTGCCGACCCTAGCCATCCATGCTTAGGGCAACCCAAACCTGTCCAGGGTGTATCCAACAATCTCACCGTGTTCTAAACCACCTGTCTGGTCGGCCAGGACACGAAGGATGATCCCCGTGGGAGACTTTTTACATTCTTCCTGGTCCATCCAGACTGATCTTTTGCCAATTTTTATTTAGTTATTTTTTAAACTCGGCAGTGCAAACACTCCAAGGTTCAAACCCACCCAGTCACTCCTAGGGTAAGGTGACGAAAGTGGGACACCATTGACGAGAGGGCAGGGGTCTTGATTAAAATTTTGGTCTATATGGACCAAATAGACCGTTCCCTAGCTTGTCGTGAAGTCTTTCCAAAAATTGAAACTTTTTAAAACGCCAAAAAGCGGGACTGTCCTGCCAAAAAGCGGGACGTCTGGTCATCTTATCCTAGGTGGAGAGACTGACTGCTCCCGTAAAGATGTGCAGCCTGGGAAACTCTGCCTAGGGTTGATGTGAATGAATCGGGATCAACTAGATGGCGGTGGGTTTGGCAAACTCGGTCCCCGTTTCTTACCCTTCTGCCCCACCCCTGCTCGCCTAAACTCATCAGATCCCCCTTTGGTCTTTGAGGTCTTGGCCCAAGCTCTGCGTTCTTCCCCCACCCCCCTCCCATTCTCCCATCCAAATCTTTCTCTTCGAACACAGCCTTTGAGCCTACCCGCACTGAAGAAACACAAACCATAAACAGCGTCTCAAAGCTCAAAGGTACTATTGTTTTTTTATTGCTCATCTATTCTATGACGCTTTCATTCCGTCTTACTAAGTTTCAAAACTAGAGAAAATAAATAAAGAAGTCTATACTTATCTATGTACGTCTTACATCGGAGACAACAGCCGGTGCCCAGAGCAGCACCCCAAATCCCAGCAGCTCCTATATTGTGTAACCATAGTATCGAGCCATCGCCATGTCCTTCTCCCTCTCGATGAAAAACTGCAGTCTCCCCAGGGAGGTGTATTTGGCGGCCTTCTGGCGTTCCTGCTGAGCGTGCTTCTTCATGGCCTCGCGCTCAGGCCTCTGCTCTTTCGTGATGGGACTCGACATAACTGGCTCAGGAACATTGGGTTTCCTCCATGGAATGGGCTGAAAGCCAAAGTCTTGGAGTAGAAACTGATGTGGAGGTTTCGGCGGGGACTTGGCCTTGACCACTGTGGTGGGAACTTGCTCCCAAGGGAGAGAGGTGCAAGATGATGCAGGCCTCAATGCACAAGCCTGAGAAACACTGGGCCGGACAGGCTTGCTCAAACCTGGTCTGGCTGGGTTGGTCAGAGTTGGCCGTGCTGCTTTAGCAGGACCTGGGCAGGTTGCATTGACAGGCGCCAGCGGAGGTGGGTTAACTGCCGTTGGTTGAGCTGTGTTAGTAGAGGCAGGCTGAGGAGGGCAGGGTTCAGGAGGGCAAGGGGCAGGAGGGCAAGGGACAGGAGGGCAAGGGGCAGGAGGGCAAGGGGCAGGAGGGCAAGGCCGTTGTGAGGCAAGAGCCTGTGGCTTCCGAGGAATAGGTCGAACTTGGGGCTTGTCCAAGGTTGGAAAAGGCAAAGGGACCAATTTCACCTTCCCAGGAGGCGGCAGCTCATACAGGGCTGGCGATGAACACAGTTTCTCTGCGATGCTATCTGGGTTCTGGACTTTGACTTGAGCCTTCTCTGGGGCACCCAGCCACAGTTTGACGGCTGGGGGTGGCTGGGGGTCCTTGGTGTTGCTGGAACTTCCCAGGGTCCGAGCAGAAGAGACCCCAGCCTTCGAATCACTCTTCTTCCCCAGGGCATGGAAAACCTGCACAGACTCCAGCATGTGCAAGCCCAGGCAGCTTCGAGGCTTCTTAAAGGTCTCTTGGCTGAGCTCAGGTTGGTTTTTCTTCCGCTTCAACTTAGGAATCGTTGGCTTTTCTTCTGCCTTGACTTTGGTCGCTGGCTGCTTACTGTCATCAGTTTTCTTGGTGTTGTTTTCTCTGTTTCGTTTGACCTTTTCCTGCCCATGGCCCTTACTTTTGCTGCTCTTGTTGGGTGTAGCTTTCTGAGGTTTGCTGTTCGAATGCTTGATGGGATCCCCAGAAGCCCCGTCACTGGCTTCTGTATTGCAACCAACCACTTCTCCCTCTGGGCTCTTGGCTTGGACTTTGGCCGTGGGAGTACCCGGGATAGGTTCAGAGCCTTTGTGCTTGCTCTTCCTGACTTGGTCAGAGGAACCCTTCATCACACTCGGCCCATCCTGCACCTGACTCACCTTGATGGCTTTGGGGTCATTGGCTTGGGCTTCGTTGGGCCCTTGGGACTGATCAAGGTCTTTCAAGGAATTGAAGAGCTGAGGAAGGTGAATGTCCTCCACCAGCGCCGCGAGATCTGCAAAACCATCGCTGGACTCGAATCCATTTCCAAGTGTCCCTTGGTCCTCGAGGTTCAGGCTGTTTTCCTCCAGGGCCGCATTCTCCACACCAGGCTGCTCCCCTTGATTGAGGGGATCAATGCAGGCCAGAAGTTGATGGATATCAGGGATCTCTAAAGGAAGCAGCGGAGGCTCTTGATTTTCTATCGTGATCTGGTAGGCAGCCAGAGATTTCGGAAGCTCGCCCTTAATCTCATCCAAATCCTTGGTCTCTGTTTGCTCCTGACTTGGAGCTGGAGGCAAGGCCAGGAGATTACCGGGACTCTCGATTTGAGTTATTAGTGGCATATCCTCAAGCTCTGGATGACTTTCAAGGATCTGGATGTTTCTGCTACTGCAAGACGTGGGGAATTCAGAAGTCTGTGGCAGACAGAACTCCTGGCTTGGAGGTTGCAGTGTCAGGGAAGACTCCATCGCCAGGGTGGTTTCCATCACTACAAAGTAATCAAAAGGAAGTCAGTCTATCCCTGGTAAGTGAGCAGCTCCCCTAGATGCACGCAGAGCCAGGAGGCACCTTCCCCAAGATGAAGCAAGTTTTTCTATGGGCTCTTTTTAAGGACCAGGGACAGTGTCCGATAGATGGACCTCAGCGCTGCTATGCTAATGCGGACCATGGTCCTTTTGTTGTCATTGTACCTCGGTGGCCTTTGCATTACTTCAGGTTGCCATAAACCAAATAAATAGTGTGAAAGCAGCTTTAAAAATACACGTTTTCGGACAGGGAGGGGAAAAAGCGAGGACCTGATGCCAGGGGCTTAAGTGGAGAGGAACTGTTTTGAGAATGACGAGGGCAATGAATGTACAAATGTGCTTTACACAATTGATGTATGTATGGATTGCAATAAGAGTTGTATGAGCCCCTAATAAAACAATAATAATAAAAATAAACGTTTTATACAGCCTGGCATCCTCATATTGAGTCCTTGCCATTCTCTGTTGTCCCGTGCGTGCGTGTAGGAATGCTGCATGCCATGGCCTAAGGGGCAGGGAGTGACACACTTGTTCTCACAAGAGATCTAAGCAAGAGCACTTGCTTCGGGCAGTGTCTCTGAAGACAAGGTTCAGAAGCCAAGTGTAAATTAAGGAAGTGATGGAAAGTTACATGGCCACTAATTGCCGTTAAGTTTGGAATCACCTTCTACAGAGACCTAAGACGTATGTGTATGTGAGGGGGGGGGGTGCGGGAGGGAGGGGGCTGGGGGGGGGTAATTGATCAGCTAGGACAGGGATCAGCAAACTGTCAATTGTGAGCATAGGCCGCTTTTTGGCACGTACATAGGGCTGTGAAGGAAAATTGAGAATGAAAATAAAACCGTCGTAGTTTCATTTATATAATCTATAAAGTATATTAATCAGCTAATGGTGATTTCATTTATCTGTAAGAATGTATTTATGACCTCTGGGTAATTTTTTAATTGATGTGGGGGACAGGATTGACTCTTCCATCTCAGAGGTTTGCCGAGTCCTGGGCGAGGGAAAGGGAAAGTCTCGTGTCCTTTGGTTCGCTCGTTAGGTGCTCCTGCAGGTAGGAGAGTTGGTCGCCAGTGTCCCACCGGCACTGGGTGTTCTCAAGACGGTGTTTGGAAATAGAGAGCGCTGGACAATGGACAAAGGTCGTGTTTAAAGTCTCGGAATGAAGGTCTACCTCTCTGTGAACTTGCAAACTGCAGACGTGACCCTCCGAAACCATATTCCTCACTCTGCTTGCTGTTTTACTCACCTTGAAAACTCGTGTCTGTGATGGGTTGAGCAGACATGGAGTAGTAAATTCCAGGCGTGGAGGCTGGTGGTGGGGCGTTTGTGGGCTGAACCTCCTTGAGAACCATCACCATTTCCGGTTGGGGGATAGAGGCTCTACTGTCTGTGTAGGACACAGAGCCATAGGATTGTAGGCAGGGGCTAAGTTCTCCAGAGATCAGGGACCCTAGGGTGCCTTGATCATAGTAGTATACCTGGTTCCCTTCCTGGTAGGGAAGTGACAAGCTAGGGCCCTGATTTGGAGTTCCTGGAACAAGGCTAGCAGATAGCGACGGATAGAGGGAGACCATGGCATTGGCGTCTGAAACTTTGTTATATTGAGCTGCCATGGGTATGGAAGAAATAGCAGTGTCTTGGTCAATGACAGTGACAGTAAGGTCCTTGAGGGATGATGACTTCTTTTCAGTGTTTGCTGTGATGTCCCACTCAAAAATGCTTGGGTAGGAGGCAGAGGGATTGGAGATCTGGCTCTGGCCAGAAACTCCAGACAACGTAGTTGTGCTAGAATGCTGGTAAAGGTAGGCACTCCCCATGAGTGGCTGCATAGAGGTGCTGGAGGCTGATGGCAGTAGCCATGCCGAGCTGACAGCTGGTGCAGAGGCCCGAGAGAAGTTGCAGACACTTCCTGTTAGGGGAGCCACCGTGCTCACCACAGGGAGAGAGAGCTGCAGAGAATTTGATGTTCCAAGCAAAGATGGACTTTGGAAATTGTCTGTAGGAAACAAGAAGGTGGTGAAAAACCAGTGAGACTGACAAATGCTCACTATATCTGAGCAACAGCATTCAAGTTGTTGCGATCAGAAAGGCTCTAATCGCAATACTAAACAAAGATGCCAAAAGTACAACTTGATGGTGGTTGTCCTGTGATGTTGGTACTGGTCTGTGCTCACCACCGGGGCACAGGTATCCAGACAGAAGACCCTGCCAATCTGATTGGGACATTGTTCTCCAGCCTTAGAGGCAATTTTCTCTCTGCCCTAGCTTCCCCTGAAGGCTGTACCCTGGTATTGGCCCCAGTATCATTTCCTAGAATGGAATCATTTTTAGAACTTGGAGGTCCTTAAAGAAATTCCATTTCAACCCTCTCATTGTGCAGATGGGGAAATGGGGACTTGGAGGGGTCAGGTGACGAATTCATCTTCTCCCATTATGTCTGTAGTGGAACCAAGTTCCAGAGCCCCGCTACCCTGATGCCCTGGCCAGAACTCGGGGCTCTGAGCATCACACAGAGAGAAACAGAACTTTCAATATATGCTTTTTTTTTTTCCCTGGTCCATGTGAAAATAGTAGAGTGCTTGTCCCACACGGTCCCACTTCGCTTGTGAAAACCAAGTTCTGTTTTCTACAGCCGGTGTCATGTATGTAGTTCAGTGGGCAAATGTAAAATGGTCCCTCTTACCCCTCTTCGAGCCTGGCTTCTGATTCAAAGCCCAGATGGCTACCTGAGGGGTAGTTTATCAAGAAAATTATTTTTCCTTTATTTCTTAGTACTCATCACCCAGTGAAGCAATAACCACTCATTCTTCAACTCCTCCTACACACACACCCTCTGGACACCACTGCATTATTTTTCTCTCTCGTGTATTTGCCTCTTATAGACGTTCATATAAGTGAGATTATATAATACCCCCCTCTGCTGACTTATGTCATGTAGCATAATGTTTTCAAGGTTCATCGTGGTAGACTGCATCAGGTTTTCATGTAGCTTTGTGGTTGAAGAATATCTATTTTATTTTATTTTTCATCGTGGAAATAGGTCTATTTATTAATGATTATTAAGAATACCTATTAGGACCTAATGTCGGGGGTTTAAATGGAGAGAAAATGTTTTGAGAAATGATGTACAAATACGCTTTACACAATTGATGTGTGTATGGATTGGGATAACAGTTGTATGAGCCCCTAATAAAATGTTTAAAAAAAAAAAAAAAAGAATACCTATTTTATGTATATGGAAGACCTGGTGTATGCATGGACATTTTGGATTGCTTTTACCTACTGGTGATTGCAAATAATGTTGCAATGAGCATTGCTATCCCGTATTTGTTAAGTCCGTGCGTTAAATTCTTCTGCATATATACCTAGGAGTGTTATTGCCAAATCATATCCTAATGCCATGTTTAATTTTTTTGAAGAGGTATTGTTTTAAATTCACAAAGATATGCTTTATAAACATGTCAGTAAAAATCACATAACAAGCATCAAAATGTGGGGAGAGAGAGGGGGTAGCGATCACAATGATCTACATATAATCTCCTTCGTGGGGGATGGACAGCAGAAAAGTGGGTGAAGGAAGACATCAGTCAGTATAAGACATGAACAATAATTTATAAATTATCAAGAGTTCATGGGGGGGGGGGGGAAATGAGGAGCTGATACCAAGGGCTCAAGTAGAAAGAAAATGTTTTGAAAATGATGATGGCAACAAATGTACAAATGTGCTTGACACAATGGATGCATGTATGCTGTATGAGCCCCCAATAAAATGATTATTTTTTAAATCATCAAAATGAAGTAAAGGTGATAGATAACCACAAAATAGAGATAGATATTTCACCAAAAATTGGTAAAAGAGGAAAAATAATGAATATAAATACACAAGAATTCCTTTATTATGCTCATTCATATTTCTCAGCGTATTACTTATCCAGCAACGATCAGAGATAACAATCTTAATAGAAATGTATATTTCAATTAATATAGCCACATTGCAAACAAACAAACCAAAACACTTAAAAGTATCATGAAGGTCTTTATATCCATCTCCAAAACCTAATTTATATTCATTTTCAACATCTAGGACACGGTCATCCCCAAATTCAGAAAATAATCATCGTTCCTAAAAATCTCACAGTAAAAGTAAGCATCTTGAATGTAGGAGAACCACCCACCCACCCACCCGCTCCACAAACGTGTTTTAGGTGAAGATGGCATTGGGAGATTTCCTTCTTACAAACAGATGTCACCTGCGGTCCAGGGTGGTATGTTACTGTGTTTTCATACTGGCGCAGGTGAGAAGAACCAACCTGTACTGGACCCAACTCACCCCCCCAAGGGCTTTACCCACGGGATTTCAGCTCGGAGACGTCACGTTTACAGCAGCAGTTTTCATTTTAAAAGACAAAACATCTACAGGGTTGAAAGTTGGTGAGCTAAAAGGTACATGCTGAAAACTCAGCTTCTGTCTCCCACGGCCCATAGCCACTATTATTCGTCTCTTGTTTTACAGGGGGCACCGTGTCAAACACACGTCGCAAATGTCTTTATTAACAACTGCTCAGTGTCACCTGAGTTCAAAGAATCAGTTGATAGAACCAACCCTGGGGTACAGTTATCTGATAAGTTACATTTTCTAGTGATGTCTATACTAGCCTGAGTTTTCTCCTCCGTCCATTGAGCTCAGCATGTGCTTAAAACACAAAACAAGACAAAAAAGAACCCCCAAGAAGCAAACCACATGCTGCCCCACTCTGAGCCGATTTCATGCTTTGCTCTTTCTGTTTTCATTTAAAGTCCTGGGTCCCCTTTGCCATTCCATCCCAACTACTACTCTCCCCTTGAGAACATGTCTGTGCTCTCCACCGCCTTCACACTCACGCGTTCTTCCCCTCCTGGCTCCTGTTGGCCTCTGCACTGGATCAAAACAGTCCTGGACCTGCTTCGATCGGAATCGCCGCCTCCCGATAGCTCGATATCCTGCATGCTGGCCCCCCATTTTCTCTTTTCATCAAGTTTAGATAGAAAACTAAACATGCGAATATTATTACTTCTTGAGCTGCTCCAATTTTGAAATTAACTTGAAATAACAATAAAGCCATCGGCTGAGACATCCCTGCCCAGTACATATTGCTCGTCTTCCACACCACAACGTTTTCTATTTCTGTTGAAACACTCTCAAAGGTCTCTGGATTTACTTCTGTAGGAACTATAGAAGTATCTATAGGAGAGTCTATAGAAACTCGTGGTTAGAAACTCAGCATTAGAAAATGAAGAGACCGTAGAAGGCAAACAATCAAATATCCTGAAGCAGAAGATGAGCGAGATTCAACGACTTGTCCAAAGACACACAAGTAGTAAATGTCAAGTCCCCAACTGATATTAGATGTTCAGATTTCAAGTTGAAAACTTTGCCCGTTGGTCCAAGCCATTTTCTTTTCTTTTTGTTTTGAATTTATTATTACTTTATCATAGTTTTATTGACATATCTTGCACAATCCAATATACCCATTCATGACTATTTTTGACTCGCCTGTTAAAATTTAGAGAGAGGAAATCTAATACAAAGCTTTTAAAACATTGCATTTTCTTACCTGACATGCTCAGAGAAGAGGAAATATCAAAAAGTGTTCAAGAGATGATACTAGAATGTGTCTGAGTGGCAGAAGCCAAAGAGAGCAAGTGTCCAGTATGACACTCACTGGTCACTTGCGATGATCCAAATTTATTTACAGACAACTCCATGGAAACCCCAAGATTCTACCAGATAGCAGTAGCTTTGGTGGGAGAATGAGGTCATAAAGCAGGCAGTTTCAAGGTATGAGAGCCAATAGGGAGGTCAGATCTCCTGCAAGAAGACAGGATTGGGTAGAAAGAGTGGTAGGGGAACTATGATGGCCAAGCCCTGGGAAGATAAAATCCTACAAGATCGAGAAATAGTAGTTCCACTTTCCTCAATCTGATGTCAAAGAAATCACCTCAAAGTTTCTTATACGTGTTCATTCATACCATTGACTAATATAATGGTTATGGTGTATGTGTTATGTGAGAGGCCTTCAAAAAGTTTGTGGGAAAATGGAACTAAAAAATAATGGAATTAAAAAACCCACACAAAATAAAGTGGAATTTTTTCCACGAACTTTTTCAAACCCCCTCTTGTTCATAAATATTTCTTCTTATAATTATGCATACTGTGTAGTTAACAGCCTTAGGGAGGAAGGAAAAAGACATCTGAATCGATCAATTATAGTTGTTCTGAAACCATATCAGGTGATCTGATATGATAAGTAAACTTACTGAGCTTTTTAGGGACCAAAGGAAGAGGTGAAAGAACTGTTTTTGTAGCTGATTGAAGAGTGGGGAGATGGTGTTTGCCTGCATCTTGTGGAGGATGGAGCGGTCCCAGGGGGTTTCTCTTTTTAACTTCTTGGATCTTTCCCTCCTCTGCCTGTGTTGGTCTGAGCCAGGTTGGACTAAATTAATCTCTTCTGCTCTTTTTTCCCCAGATAGCCCCCCACCCCCCACACACACACCTGCTCCCTCAATAGACATTGTTTCTGGGGCAAGCCTTGATCTTGGATCCTTACATTCATGGATGTCACCTCCTGTCAACTTCCAGAAGCAGTGGTCTTCCTCTCAGTGCCTTGATGCATCGTCATAAAATGAACTGTCCCCATTAAAAACAGACACCAAAGAGCTAGAAGACATAACTGCCTACACATCTTCCCTCTTCTGGTCTTTGGTTGCAATTCCTTTGTCCAGAATTGTCTACCTCTGGCTCCTGGGGCAATGCAGGCACCTCAGCATCCCACTTTCATGTGTGAGAGGCATCTGGGATGCTTTCCTCCTTCCTTCCTTCCTTCCTCAAGTGTATCCAATATGGCAGTTACTGTCGCCTCCTCCCCTTGCAAACAGCCATCATAGAATCTTGGGCTTCTAGGATTCTGTCTGCCATACTTGGGTGCAAGACCAAGCAAAATTACTAGGATGACCCGGAGAATAGTTAGAAAAGAAGGAGACCCCAGTGGGGAACAGGGAATGGGCAAGGTGAAAGGGTATAGGGGGGAAAAAAGGATTTGTGTGGGTTTATTTGCTTCTGCAAGAAACACGTTGACACTTGGTAAATGCTAAATTATTTTGTATTCACTTACCCACGGCTATAAAGTTGATTCTGACCCATAATGATCCTGTATGGCAGAGGAGAATCTGTAGGGTTTCCCAGGCTGTAAATAAATCTTTCTGGGAGCATAAAGCCTCATCTTTTCCCCACAGGGTGACTGGTGGGTTTGAACTACAGACCTTATGGTTAGCAGGTCACTGCTAACCCACTAATCTACCAGGGCTCCTTATGTATTCATTTAGACTTCACGGACATCGAGTGGATTCTGACTGATAGCAACCCTATATAATTTAGACCTTAGCGATTCAACATTGTTTTTTATATAGCTAGATATAGTCCAGGAGCTGCCATGTGAGAAAAAAAATCATGTTTTTTTTTTCTCTCATATTACCATATTTATTCCACTCATTCATGTTTGAAGAACAGAGATTGCTTGTACACACTGGATTCACTTATGTGGTTTTCTATTGTCACTTTATTATTTTT